CCCTCTCCGTGTGTGCACCATATTGCATAATGGATAAATAAAGTAAATAACATTTGGGCAGCTTGATTAGTAAGAACATCTTAAAAAAGATGGTATCATGTCAGAAAAGTGTCAATGATGGATTGACCTGACCATCTTAGCAGAGAGATGAATACCGTAAAGACCTCACACTGTACTTAAAAGGTCATTCGTTTATTTAGAGTTCTCTTTCTCTTCCGGTCTGGGAGATGATGGTCTGGAACCAAGAATAAACAAATGGAAAAATTGCATTTAGACTACACGGCCTGCTGCAGTTACAGAAAGGGGGTAAACTTCATTTAGTCAAATCCACACACTCCAAATGTCAGTCAAATGACAAAAACAAAACAAATAACATTTGTCTGACAAAGTGACATTTTAATCATACTTACATGTCCTTGATAGCTTTCCTCATGAGCTGTCTTGTACATGGGGACATCACATTGTCTGTTGGACTCCTTATTTCAGACCTACATTGCCACACGAGGGAGTAGAGAGAGAGAGAGAGAGAGTAGCGCGAGATTAGACCGAGAGCAGAGAGAGTAGAGCAGAGAGAGAGAGAGAGAGAGAGAGAGAGTAGAGCAGAGAGAGAGAGAGTAGAGCAGAGAGAGAGAGAGTAGAGCAGAGAGAGAGAGAGAGTAGAGCAGAGAGAGAGAGTAGAGAGAGAGAGTAGAGCAGAGAGAGAGAGTAGAGCAGAGAGAGTAGAGCAGCGAGAGAGAGCGAGAGAGTAGAGTAGAGAGAGAGTAGAGCGCAGAGAGAGTAGAGAGAGAGAGTAGAGCAGAGAGAGTAGAGCAGAGAGAGTAAAGCAGAGAGAGAGAGAGTAGAGCAGAGCAGAGAGAGAGAGAGGAGAGCAGAGCAGAGAGAGAGTAGAGCAGAGAGAGAGAGAGGAGAGCAGAGCAGAGAGAGAGTAGAGCAGAGAGAGAGAGTAGAGCAGAGCAGAGAGAGAGTAGAGCAGAGAGAGAGTAGAGCAGAGAGAATACGTCAAGCATGTTAATTTGACAAAAGCTAAATCCCTTCTAGCCAGGACCCTGACTTGGGGCACTCTCACGTGGGTTATAAGTAATCTGTCACATGGTAACGTTACACAGGTGACCGGAAGTATTTGCAAAGGTGAGCGCTTATTATACCTCTGTGGGTGAATTGAATCAAAGATTATGGATATACTGACAAGATACACGTCTCTCCGCCCTAACAATGGGAGTTGTTGTCCACAAAGCGGCACGGCGGACTGTCTAGCTCCCGCCTATCCTTTCTTAGGATTGGTGGATACATCTCATTATTGTAATCCTTTTATGAATATTCAATGAGGGTTGTTGACGTCAACCACCTGTATTCAATCGAGAGATGCTATGCTACTAGCCTCATGCCGTGAATATGCATAGTCATCTCGAGACAACACCAATATAAATGTTTTTTTTCTCAAAGTTGCCGGGATGTCATGTGTGCTACTTATATCAGTACACCCGTAACAACTTAAGCAATACGAAACGTTTGTTAGGTCAAATAAACTTCAGGTAGAAAATAAGCCATACATTTTTTGGTTGAACAAAAATTCGACACTTCATACAAAAACTCCTTGCTTGGTGGGTGAAAAAACGCCACCTGCTGGAGGAAGGCAGATTTTCCTCAAAGTTGGTCCTCTCTCTTCCTCTCTAATTGAATTGAGAGGAGAGACAGATCTGTATATTATGAAGAGATGCTCATGTCTCCGCCCCAAAAATAGAGTACCACAGTATGAGTCATAATACCCATAAAACCTAGCGGTCAAACAGGGAAATGGTATCAAACGTTTTTCCCAATAGGGGCTTTTAGAAACACTTAAAATAAGGGCTGTGTTTCGTGTAGGCTTACCCTGGCTTGACGTTTTGATAACAGTGTAAATCTATTGGAGAAGGTGACCTTTATCAATATATTTGCCTGTATTTACCCCCAACAAATGAAATGCTAATTAGCTGCTAATGTGGCTATCATAAAGAACTACAAATGCCATCATGATCTGGACGAGACTGCCGAATCGAGGCAAAGGTAAGAATCTCTGGATTAACTATCTAATGTTAGCTAAATGCAGTAATGAATGAATTGGCTACATTTCTTTAAAATGTACCTGTTAGCAAATGTGCCAGTTAGAGATGACGTCCAGGAGCTTGCAGGGATTTGTAATCTTGCATGACGTCTACTTTTATGCTAATTAACATTTTGGAATCTGAGAGTAAATAGAGCCGAATATATTGATGAATCACCTTGTCCGAGAGAGATTTACATGGTTATCAAAATGTCACTCCAGGGTAAGCCTACACAAAACACAGCCCTTATTTGAAGTGTTTCTCAAATCCCCTATGGGAAAACGATTGGAACCATTTCCCTGCTTGACCGCTAGGTTTTACGGGTATAATGACACCTCCACTGTGGGGCTCTCAGCCGCGAAGACAGGCGACAAGCCACTTCTGCAATTAATGGGAAGACCACCCAACTAAATATCTACGCCTGGAAACCAAATTCTGGTCGATTCATGAAATGCTCTCCACCTGTGCCAGTGGCGTTTCATCGACACTACGCATTGCATAATTTATACTGTATAAAAACTGTAGGTTTTACATGCATTAATCTAACAATCATTTCAACTTTCACAACGTACTTCTCTTGAATCTTCTTTCTTTTCGCCAGGCTTGGTGTCGGTGGCTGTTGATTGAGGTGAGTATACATCGACTGCAGTGCTTTTCCAGAGCTCATTTTCTCTGCAGAAAGACATCATGACATGAACGACAGTTTATATCCATAGCGAATTATGTAAACATTGTTGCAACTTGCATACAATAACGTACGCTCTACAATACGAACTGGAAATCGTTTTAAATTATGTAATTGATTATAACAACAAGTACACTTTCATTGTAGCAGTTAAAAGAACCCACCTTTATCTTGGTTGCCACAGTCGTGTAGCAAGCAGGAACTAGTAGTCTAGGCTCCAGATCCAGTCGTGTAGCAAGCAGGAACTAGTAGTCTAGGCTCCAGATCCAGTCGTGTAGCAAGCAGGAACTAGTAGTCTAGGCTCCAGATCCAGTCCGTTTAGTAACGATCAGCTGCGTTCATGTGAAGTAGGACATTTCGAACGTGGCGCTCCATGACGTTTTTCAAATACGCTCCTCTCATTGGTAGTTGCCACGGCACAAGCATAACAAACCGCCCTCTCAGAAAACATTTGACATACCTCATAATTTTATTTTCTCAGTAACTGTGTACATTGCAAGCTTTGTGATTTTTTTTTTGGAAAATAAACTCCAATCCTTAGACATGTTTAACCAGAAAAGTCGAATACTTTTCATTGTTGTATAACACAAATGTAATTTACATTCATACATTTTCTGTGTAGGAGGAACAGGCACCTTTTTCTATATTTCAAACCCACAGCACCAGCTGAGCCTTCAAGTGTACAGAGAATATCCCCATGTATGCTCCAACTAAAACATATTATTTATTGAGAAGCTTTAAAGCGCTCGTTCAAAAGATGTGCGCCCAACGTGGGGCTCGAACCCACGACCCTGAGATTAAGAGTCTCATGCTCTACCGACTGAGCTAGCCGGGCTTGCAACATATCAGGAAACTCCCCCTTTACAAACCATGAGGCGCGAACCCTGCCCCCCCCTCTTTTCTTAGAATTCACACAGAGCTCGCTCCAAGACTGATGCAATTACTCAGTGAGTCACCACTGCATACACAAAGCCCTTGATCCGTGTTCACAAAGCCTCCCAGGGTAGGAGTGCTGATCTACGATCAGGTTCCTCCTGTCCATGTCATCTGATTCAATATAATCTAAACGCAAAACTGATCACAGATCAGCACTGCTACTCTAAAAGGCTTCGTGAATACAGACCCTGATCCCAGATCAGCTGCTGGTGTAATCTGTACTCGGATCACGGTCCTTGAAAAGGGTAAACATCACTGGTAATGCTACTCTCTCAACATTCATATGATGCAATAAGGCAAAAATCCATCAAGTATTTATTCCAATGCTAATTGTTTACAGCATCAATTGGAGACTTATCAAAACAACCATTACAAACCACATTTGTAAAGGACATTCATAAAGGACTTAATAATAATAATAATAATAATAATATGCCATTTGTTTGGGGGCTGGTGACATAAAACACTTTCACTTCTGTCTCTCTCATTCCTTCTCTAATGTAGGGTGTAGGCTCCTCTCCCCCTTCTCTCACCCCAGTCTCTCACCCCTTCTCTCACCCCTTCTCTAGTGTAGGGTGTAGGCTTCTCTCACCCCTTCTCTAGTGTAGGGTGTAGGCCTACTCAAAAGAGAGTATTACAACAAAAACTCACAATCAAACAAAAAACACTGCTCTCCTATAAAGTCCATACACTTAATGCATTTCAGGAAACAATATAAATTCAAATCTAGATAATGAAAATCAACCCTGCTCTCCTATTAAGTCCATGCACTTAATGCATTTCAGGAAACAACTCAAATCTAGATGATTAAACTAAGATCAACAAATGTATTACCAAAAAGACACACAATCAGAGTTGAGGTTATTTGTAGCATGGTAACTCCATTTCCTTAGACAACAAGCTAGACCATACTAGGTACAGTATAAAACATTTCCTTAGACAACAAGCTAGACCATACTAGGTACAGTATAAAACATTTCCTTAGACAACAAGCTAGACCATACTAGGTACAGTATAAAACATTTCCTTAGACAACAAGCTAGACCATACTAGGTAAAGTATAAAACATTTCCTTAGACAACAAGCTAGACCATACTAGGTAAAGTATAAAACATTGTGTATATTGTGGTAGTGGCACGGCTTCAATACAACAAGCAAAACATTTGCTCCAAAGTTTGACAAAACAAACATTTGCTCCAAATTTTGACAAAACAAATATTTGCTCCAAATTTTGACAAAACAAACATTTGCTCCAACATTTGAAAACACAAATCAGGGAAGTGTAAAGAGCTCCTTCCCTAGTGAGGCCAGAAGCCCCAGGCAACACCGGGAAGAACCAAAGCTACTATGATGGAAGAGAAGAGGTTAACGCCATTGTTGTCCAGGATAGGCTTCCCACATATCCGCTTCGTTGTCACAGACTCATAGTTCACAACCTTTCCAACGCTGGCATCATAACCTGGGGGAGAACAGACATCATCTAGGAGTAAGAGTGGAGCAGACATTTTTAATGCCTGCGATGTTTGAAATTAAAGACACTTCAAGCACCTGCTGATATCCATTTGGAATGTATTAAACATATGTAAAAACAAATTTTAAAGGGGTCCATTCAATGTGAAAAATCCAAATAAATGAATAACATATTAATCTATATCTCTAGTTAGTTATGTGTCCTTTTCCCTGATAATAACATGAACTAATCCCTGATAATAACATGTTAATAACTAATCCCTGATAATAACGAACTAATCCCTGATAATAACATGTTAATAACTTTTCCCTGATAATAACATGTTAATAACTAATCCCTGATAATAACATGTTAATAACTAATCCCTGATAATAACATGTTAATAACTAATCCCTGATAATAACGAACTAATCCCTGATAATAACATGTTAATAACTAATGGTTGTCAGACCCACCTGAGTACTGCCAGTGTGCTCCCAGGACAGAGTCCAGCATGGACCCCACTAGGCCAGCCATGGCTCCATAGACTACGATTGGCCACTGGGGATCAGCCAGGTGCAGGTCACGGACCAATAGGATTTGAGAGATATAGTAAGCCACGCCCACTGCCAGGCCCCCCAGGAAGCTAGCCAGTAGACCCACTGGGGTCACTCCTCCATTGGTCCCTGTGAAAAGAACAGAGGAACCATTAACACCAATGGAGAGGCTAGCTCTCATGGGGCGCATTGTTAGAACTGACAGTGAATTGGATCCACTAGTAGGCACAGGTGTGGTAGAAACATTTATCTAAAAACAAGCTCCCAGAATAGGAACAGGATGCAGGAAGACTAGACTATTTACAGTATACTCTGTGGTTACTATCCCTTACCTACATTGAAACTAGCACTGAACACAAAACACTCCCCGCCCAACGTGGGGCTCGAACCCACGACCCTGAGATTAAGAGTCTCATGCTCTACCGACTGAGCTAGCCGGGCTTGCATCACCACATATCACCACCCACATACAGGCCTCAGTGTGAACCAACCCTGTCCACTGACAGACCTCACAGGGTGTGAACCAACCCTGTCCTCTGACAGACCTCACAGGGTGTGAACCAACCCTGTCCACTGACAGACCTCACGGGGTGTGAACCAACCCTGTCCACTGACAGACCTCACGGGGTGTGAACCAACCCTGTCCACTGACAGACCTCACAGGGTGTGAACCAACCCTGTCCACTGACAGACCTCACAGGGTGTGAACCAACCCTGCCTCTTGGATTTCACCACTCCTCTATATCACCACCCTAGTACTCATCACTGTCAGAAGTTGTTGTTTGAACTAAACAGTCCAACAGATACTGGTCATTTATGTTGCACCTGTACTAACAACTATACCTCTAAGGCTGGTTTCCCGGACACAGATGAAGTCCTAGTCCAAAAACATGCTCAATTGAGACTCTTCATAGGAAGTGCTATTTATTCTAGGACTATGCTTAATCTGTGTCCAGGAAACTACCCGGTATGCAAATCAAAATGTTTGCGCCCAACGTGGGGCTCGAACCCACGACCCTGAGATTAAGAGTCTCATGCTCTACCGACTGAGCTAGCCGGGCTTGAATCATATTAGGAAACTCCCCCTTTACAAACCATGAGGCGCGAACCCTGCCCCCCCCTGGACGGTGAATTGGATCCACTAGTAGGCACAGGTGTGGTAGAAACATTTATCTAAAAACAAGCTCCCAGAATAGGAACAGGAAGCAGGAAGACTAGACTATTTACAGTATACTATGTGGTTACTATCCCTTACCTACATTGAAACTAGCACTGAACACAAAACACTCCCCGCCCAACGTGGGGCTCGAACCCACGACCCTGAGATTAAGAGTCTCATGCTCTACCGACTGAGCAAGCCGGGCCTGAGGGCAACTGGAATTCCCCCGCGCATAGGAACTGTCAGGATGAGTCAGGAACCCTGCCCCCTCCTGGTTTTAACATCACCTGCCACAGTCATTTACTGGAATGATCTTCTTACTCAACACTGAGAATAGTTGTAAGTGGAGCCGCACTGTCAATAGATAGACATTATTTACATTACATTTCAATTAACTGACTCCAACCCTGTCCCCTTTTAGATTTCACATATCACCCACAGTCTTTTATCCTGTTACTCATCAATGTGAAAAGAAAAGTTGTTGACTGAACAGTCAGTAAACAGATTTACTTTCTTTTCCAACCAACCCTCTAGTGTCTAAAATGCAGACACATTTATCAGAAGGAGAAAGGCTTTCAAATCAAAAGATGTGCGCCCAACGTGGGGCTCGAACCCACGACCCTGAGATTAAGAGTCTCATGCTCTACCGACTGAGCTAGCATCACCACATATCACCACCCACATACAGGCCTCAGTGTGAACCAACCCTGTCCACTGACAGACCTCACAGGGTGTGAACCAACCCTGTCCTCTGACAGACCTCACAGGGTGTGAACCAACCCTGTCCTCTGACAGACCTCACAGGGTGTGAACCAACCCTGTCCTCTGACAGACCTCACAGGGTGTGAACCAACCCTGTCCACTGACAGACCTCACAGGGTGTGAACCAACTGTGTCCACTGACAGACCTCACAGGGTGTGAACCAACTGTGTCCACTGACAGACCTCACAGGGTGTGAACCAACCCTGTCCACTGACAGACCTCACAGGGTGTGAACCAACCGTGTCCACTGACAGACCTCACAGGGTGTGAACCAACCCTGTCCACTGACAGACCTCACAGGGTGTGAACCAACCGTGTCCACTGACAGACCTCACAGGGTGTGAACCAACCCTGTCCTCTGACAGACCTCACAGGGTGTGAACCAACCCTGTCCACTGACAGACCTCACAGGGTGTGAACCAACCCTGTCCTCTGACAGACCTCACAGGGTGTGAACCAACCCTGTCCACTGACAGACCTCACAGGGTGTGAACCAACCCTGTCCACTGACAGACCTCACAGGGTGTGAACCAACCCTGTCCTCTGACAGACCTCACAGGGTGTGAACCAACCCTGTCCTCTGACAGACCTCACAGGGTGTGAACCAACCCTGTCCACTGACAGACCTCACAGGGTGTGAACCAACCCTGCCTCTTGGATTTCACCACTCCTCTATATCACCACCCTAGTACTCATCACTGTCAGAAGTTGTTGTTTGAACTAAACAGTCCAACAGATACTGGTCATTTATGGTGCACCTGTACTAACAACTATACCTCTAAGGCTGGTTTCCCGGACACAGATGAAGTCCTAGTCCAAAAACATGCTCAATTGAGACTCTTCATAGGAAGTGCTTTTTAGTCTGGGACTATGCTTAATCTGTGTCCAGGAAACTACCTGGTATGCAAATCAAAAGGTTAGCGCCCAACGTGGGGCTCGAACCCACGACCCTGAGATTAAGAGTCTCATGCTCTACCGACTGAGCTAGCCGGGCTTGCATCATATTAGGAAACTCCCCCTTTACAAACCATGAGGCGCGAACCCTGCCCCCTCCTGGTTTTAACATCACCTGCTACAGTCATTTACTGGAATGATCTTCTTACTCAACACTGAGAATACTTGGAGTCGCACTGTCAATAGATAGACATTATTTACATTACATTTCAATTAACTGACTCCAACCCTGTCCCCTTTTAGATTTCACATATCACCCACAGTCTTTTATCCTGTTACTCATCAATGTGAAAAGAAAAGTTGTTGACTGAACAGTCAGTAAACAGATTGACTTTCTTTCCAACCAACCCTCTAGTGTCTAATTATTTATTATATTATATTATAAAATGCTGACACATTTATCAGAAGGAGAGAGGCTTTCAAATCAAAAGATGTGCGCCCAACGTGGGGCTCGAACCCACGACCCTGAGATTAAGAGTCTCATGCTCTACCGACTGAGCTAGCCGGGCCTGGAGGCACAGCCCACACCAGCCCAACTTAACACAACTCTTAGACCAGGATGGGAAATAACAGCCCAATATGTAATAACTCTTAGACCAGGTTGGCAAATAACAGCCCAATATGTAATAACTCTTAGACCAGGTTGGCAAATAACAGCCCAATATGTAATCACTCTTAGACCAGGTTGGGAAATAACAGCCCAATATGTAATAACTCTTAGACCAGGTTGGGAAATAACAGCCCAATATGTAATAACTCTTAGACCAGGTTGGGAAATAACAGCCCAATATGTAATAACTCTTAGACCAGGTTGGGAAATAACAGCCCAATATGTAATAACTCTTAGACCAGGTTGGGAAATAACAGCCCAATATGTAATAACTAGTAGACCAGGTTGGGAAATAACAGCCCAACATGTAATAACTCTTAGACCAGGTTGGGAAATGACCAGTCTAGAGACAATAATAGTAACAACTATCAAAATTAAGTACCCTCTTTTTACATACACTCCACCAAATGGCACCCTATTCCCTATATAGTGCACTACTTTTGACCAGGGCATTTGTGCCATTTGGACTTAGCCATAGTGTGGGGCTGAAAGACATGGTCCAAAGGTCTCATGACCCCCCCCCCCCCCCCCCCCATAGAGAGACAAACCCTGCCAGGAATAGCCTGAATATGGATATATCCTTTAACTTCCTGTTAACAAGCCTCATGACAGCATGAGACTTGACCTTTGACCATGTCATAGCATTATTACATGGTATAATAGCACCATTATAAACATTCATTTAGTCAATACTGGTTTTATATATATATATATATATATATATATATATATATATATATATATATATATATATATATATATACACACACAGTACCAGTCAAAAGTTTGGACACGTCTACTAATTCAAGTGTTTTTCTTTATTTTTTTTTCTACATTGTACATGATTCCATGTGTTATTTCATAGTTTTGATCAAAATCAAATCAAATTTTATTGGCCACATGCGCCGAATACAACAGGTGCAGACATTACAGTGAAATGCTTACTTACAGCCCTTAACAAACAGTGCATTTATTTTTAATTAAAAAAGTAAAATAAAACAACAACAAAAAAGTGTTGAGAAAAAAAGAGCAGAAGTAAAATAAAATAACAGTAGGGAGGCTATATATACAGGGGGGTACCGGTGCAGTCAATGTGCGGGGGCACCGGCTAGTTGAGGTAGTTAAAGTAATATGTACATGTGGGTAGAGTTAAAGTGACTATGCATAAATAATTAACAAAGTAGCAGCAGCGTAAAAAGGATGGGGTGGGGGGGGCAGTGCAAATAGTCCGGGTAGCCATGATTAGCTGTTCAGGAGTCTTATGGCTTAGGGGTAGAAGCTGTTGAGAAGTCTTTTGGACCTAGACTTGGCACTCCGGTACTGCTTGGCGTGCGGTAGCAGAGAGAACAGTCTATGACTAGGGTGGCTGGAGTCTTTGACAATTTTGAGGGCCTTCCTCTGACACCGCCTGGTATAGAGGTCCTGGATGGCAGGAAGCTTGGCCCCAGTGATGTACTGGGCCGTACGCACTACCCTCTGTAGTGCCTTGTGGTCGGAGGCCGAACAGTTGCCATACCAGGCAGTGATGCAACCAGTCAGGATGCTCTCGATGGTGCAGCTGTATAACATTTTGAGGATCAGAGGACCCATGCCAAATCTTTTCAGTCTCCTTAGGGGGAATAGGCTTTGTCGTGCCCTCTTCACAACTGTCTTGGTGTGTTTGGACCATGATAGTTTGTTGGTGATGTGGACACCAAGGAACTTGAAGCTCACAACCTGTTCCACTACAGCACCGTCGATGAGAATGGGGGTGTGCTCAGTCCTCTTTTTTTTCCCTGTAGTCCACAATCATCTCCTTTGTCTTGATCACGTTGAGGGAGAGGTTGTTATCCTGGCACCACACGGCCAGGTCTCTGACGTCCTCCCTATAGGCTGTCTCATCGTTGTCGGTGATCAGCCCCCCCCCCCCCACCTTGTCACAACACAACTGATTGGTTGAAACGCATTAAGAAGGAAATAAATTCCACAAATTAACTTTTAAGAAGGCACACCTGTTAATTTAAATGCATTCAAGGTGACTACCTCATGAAGCTGGTTGAGAGAATACCAAGAGTGTGCAAAGCTGTCATCAAGGCAAAGGGTGGCTACTTTGAAGAATCTCAAATATAAAATGTATTTTGATTTGTTTAACATTTTTTGGTTACTACATGATTCCATATGTATTATTTCATAGTTTTGATGTCTTCACTATTATTCTACAATGTAGAAAATAGTAAAAATAAAGAAAAACCCTTGAATGAGTAGGTGTAGCCAAACGTTTGACTGGTACTGTATATATGGCCCTTTACGGAGTTAATGAGCCTGGGCTTGGTCTGACTGAGGACGGGCCCCACCTCTGATGCCCAGGTGTGTGTGTGTACCTGTAGGAACCTCTCTCCAGGAGGTGATGAGCCTGGGTTTGGTCTGGCTGAGGACGGGCCCCACCTCTGATGCCCAGGTGTCCCCCGTAGAGCAGGCCAAGGCCCCCAGCAGAGACAGGCACATCCAGGAGGCCGAGTACTGCTTCCCAAAGTCCACCGGCATCTCCCCAGGACCCACCTGATATTAACCAGGACCACACAATGGAAATAACCTCAGATGTGTGATGATGTACTGTTGGCTGAGGCAGCTGTATATGTATTTAAATGTATAATTAATTAAATTCATTGATTGACCTCGATCATATAGAGCAGGGCCAGCTCTGTGGGGACACCACCGTTACAGAACACCTGCACCCAGTTCCTCTGGCCACCTGGAGGGCAAAGGGGACACACATTAAAATGATAGTTCACTTCCAAATGTTTCACTTACTTTTGACCTCCCTAGGGGGTTGTTTTTTTCCCTTGTTAAATAAGCTAAAACTTCAAAAAGGTGAACTATCCCTTTAAGGTCAAATGGCTTATGCAGGTTTGTCAGATATCACTGACTGAGGCAGATAGACCAACCAATCCAGTAGCAGGCTGTTGCTGACTGGGGTGTGGCCTGACTGGGGCGTGGCCTGACTGGGGTGTGGCCTGACTGGGGTGTGGCCTGACTGGGGCGTGGCCTGACTGGGGCGTGGCCTGACTGGGGTGTGGCCTGACTGGGGTGTGGCCTGACTGGGGCGTGGCCTGACTCTCTAGAGATTCATTTAGCATCTAGCTACTGTAGCTTGTTACCTTCTTTATAGTCAGAGTCTAGCTTCTTCTTGACTTCCTGTTTCCAGCGCGTCAGCTTGGAGGAAGTGATGAAGAAAGCCAGCAGGGCGGAGAAGAAGCTCATGTTGGCCATGGTGAGGATGAAGCCGACCAGCAGGGCTGTAGGGACAGAGAACTAAAGCATTAAAACAATGCAACTCAAAACACACTTGCCTGGTCCCAGATCTGTTTGTACTTGTTTATAGCCAACTCTTATGGCCGTTGTTATGGCCACGTGTTTGTTTGACATAACAACAACCACAGGAGCTGGCACTAACAGATCTGGGACCAGGTTACAAACTAGGCCTAACTACCTTATCGGAACAGTACTGCAGGACATCTACTCTCTCCATATGATTTCTGAAAGAATCATGATGAAAGTGGCCATTTTATGCCCTTTTCAGACCAATACACGCCTCCTGTAAGACCCTGTGATCTGTGAACCGTTCATGAGACAGACATCTTGGTGATATTATCCTCCTTATAGTTTGCTCAACCATATGGAGTATGACTTGATTATGAAAAAAACAATTTCACATTCATTTATTCAACATTAAAAAAAATATTAATATGAATATCTGAAAAGTACCCTTTTTGATTTTGTTCATTTTAAGACATATTGTCTTGGAACAATATACTCTACATCATGTCAGTGATTCTCTCGTTAACACAGGTGAGAGTGTTGACGAGGACAAGGGTGGAGATCACTCTGTCATGCTGATTGAGTTAGAATAACAGACTGGAAGCTTTAAAAAGGAGGGTGGTGCTTGAAATCATTGTTCTTCCTCTGTTAACCATGGTTACCTGCAAGGAAACACGTGCCGTCATCATTGCTTTGCACAAAAAGGGCTTCACAGGCAAGGATATTGCTGCTAGTAAGATTGTACCTAAATCAACCATTTATCATGAATAAAGAAATGGTACCAACACATCCTCTGAGAGCAACTTCTCCCAACCATCCAAGAACAGTTTGGTGACGACCAATGCCTTTTCCAGCATGATGGAGCACCTTGCCATAAGGCAAAAGTGATAACTAACTGGCTCGGGGAACAAAACATCAACATTTTGGCTCCATGGCCAGGAAAACTCCCCAGACCTTAATCCCATTGAGAACTTGTGGTTGATTCTCAAGAGGCGGGTGGACAAACAAAAACCCACAAATTCGGGCAAACTCCAAGCATTGATTATGCAAGAATGGGCTGCCATCAGTCAGGATGTGGCCCAGAAGTTAATTGACAGCATGCCAGGGTGGATTGCAGAGGTCTTGAAAAAGAAGGGTCAACACTGCAAATATTGACTCTTTGCATAAACTTAATGTAACTGTCAATAAAAGCCTTTGACACTTATGGAATGCTTGTAATTATACTTCAGTATATCATAGTAACATCTGACAAAAATATCTCATAACACTGAAGCAGCGAACTTTGTGAAGACCAATACTTGTGTCATTCTCAAAACTTTTGACCACGACTGTATAAGTCTAAAAAGAGCCTACAATTGCCACTTCCATCATGATTTTCTCAAAAATTGTTTGTGATACAAACGTCAAAACAACCTTCCTCCCAGTTTATATGTGAGAATTGCCAGAACAATCTGCGATACCCCCAAAAAATATTTCCGGCCTATTCTGCCGTGGAATGTGCCAATTAACACATGAATAAACTGCTCCATCAGTTGAATCATGTGACTCAGCACAGAACCACGATTTTAAAAGGAATGGTGACTAAATCAGTTCCTCTCAGATCCAAATCACTACACCACATGAGAACTGCCGGTGGCCTGGCTAATGTGTGACTGACGTCAGGGCAACCACTCTTCTCAAACGTACGCCTGGGGCTTGCTGGAACTGTGTGGAACGCATCTTAGATGTAATAATAGGAGTCTCTGTTGGGTGTTTGATGCTATTAGTCATTCTAAGATGCGTTCCACACAGAGACTCCTAAGGTTAAAGTGATACTTGGGATTTTGGCAAATCAGTCCCCGAGTGGCGCAGTGGTCTAAGGCACTGCATCGGCAGTGCTAGCTGTGCCACTAGAGATCCTGGTTCGAATCCAGGCTCTGTCATAGTTGGCCGCGACCGGGAGACCCATGGGGCGGCGCACAATTGGCCCAGCGTCGTACAGGGTAGGGGAGGGAATGGCCGGCAGGGATGTAGCTCAGTTGGTAGAGCATGGCGTTTGCAATGCCAGGGTTGTGGGTTCAATTCCCATGGGGGGCCAGTATGAACATTTTTATAATAATGTAATTTGCTCTAGATAAGAGTGTCTGCTAAATGACTTAAAATGAAAAAAAAAAAATGCTTTATCTACTTTCCCAGAGTCCGATGAACTCTCGGATACACATTTGTCTCTGTGTCCTGTATGAAGGAAGTATCTACAGTAGATAGATACTGAATAGTATTATGCAGTATATACAGTGGGGAGAACAAGTATTTGATACACTGCCGATTTTGCAGGTTTTCCTACTTACAAAGCATGTAGAGGTCTGTAATTTTTATCATAGGTACACTTCAACTGTGAGAGACGGAATCTAAAACAAAAATCCAGAAAATCACATTGTATTATTTGTAAGTAATTAATTTGCATGTTATTGCATGACATAAGTATTTGATACATCAGAAAAGCAGAACTTAATATCTGGTACAGAAACCTTTGTTTGCAATTACAGAGATCATACATTTCCTGTAGGTCTTGACCAGGTTTGCACACACTGCAGCAGGGATTTTGACCCACTCCTCCATACAGACCTTCAGGTTTCGGGGCTGTCGCTGGGCAATACGGACTTTCAGCTCCCTCCAAATATTTTCTATTGGGTTCAGGTCTGGAGACTGGCTAGGCCACTCCAGGACCTTGAGATGCTTCTTACGGAGCCACTCCTTAGTTGCCCTGGCTGTGTGTTTCGGGTCGTTGTCATGCTGGAAGACCCAGCCACGACCCATCTTCAATGCTCTTATTGAGGGAAGGAGGTTGTTGGCCAAGATCTCGCGATACATGGCCCCATCCATCCTCTCCTCAATACGGTGCAGTCGTCCTGTCCCCTTTGCAGAAAAGCATCCCCAAAGAATGATGTTTCCACCTCCATGCTTCACGGTTGGGATGGTGTTCTTGGGGTTGTACTCATCCTTCTTCTTCCTCCAAACACGGCGAGTGGAGTTTAGACCAAAAAGCTCTATTTTTGTCTCATCAGATCACATTACCTTCTCCCATTCCTCCTCTGGATCATCCAGATGGTCATTGGCAAACTTCAGACGGGCCTGGACATGTGCTGGCTTGAGCAGGGGGACCTTGCGTGCGCTGCAGGATTTGAATCCATGATGGCGTAGTGTGTTACTAATGGTTTTCTTTGAGACTGTGGTCCCAGCTCTCTTCAGGTCATTGACCAGGTCCTGCCGT